AATCTGATCTCAGCAGTGACATAAACATTACTGAAATTATGCATTAAATCTGATCTCAGCAGTGACATAAACATTACTGAAATTATGCATTAAATCTGATCTCAGCAGTGATATAAACAACTGAAATTATGCATTGAATCTGATCTCAGCAGTGATAAACATATCTGAAGTGATGCATTAATGAAATCTGATCTCAGCAGTGACATGAACATAACTGATGTAACAATAACATCTGATCTCAGTGATATATTAGTGAAGTCTGATCACAGCAGTGATAATAGCGCACAAATATCAACGCGGCGTGCTGGTACCTGCGCGTGACAGGCTCTGCCATTAAACCAGCGAACGGAACGTGATCAACACACAAAATAATAAACACTACAACACAGCCATAGGCGCGAGCGAGCGAGCTGCTGTTGGTGTTTAAGAGAGAGTACATTTACAAACACCGCCTGTGCGCGACCTACAATATACAAGAGTGTGTGTGTGTGTGTGTGTGTGTGTGTGTGGAGTGTGAACACACACTCACCTGTTTCTGTGTTTCTCCCCGCTTTTACCGCATGGCAGAGGCGCAAACCAACACGGCTCGGCAGGTGACGGCGACTGTCAGGGAGTTTCTCGGTTTAATGACTAAATGAACGGCCGCTGGTGCGAGTTTGTCTCGCGCTCCGCCTCACCGACCCCTCGCGCGACCCGACAGCGCCTCCACCTGAGCGCGCAGGTGAACGTGCCATCCAAACTACAGTTTTCTCAATCGTTAAAACACTTTTCTTGAAACCATCACTCCTTTTCTCAAAACCTTAAACACAAATCCAAATACTCAAACTAAATTCACAGAACCCCTGACTCTTCTGGCAAAATCAAGCAGTCGCTTCAAAACCATTTCAGCTGTGCTCCAAATCACACACAGCTTTCAAATCACACACACATTCATCAATAATACACACGCTACTACAGATCTTTCATTAGACACTACATCAAAAAATGGAGAACAGTGCATGTAGTTACAAAAAAAATGTTTATTGTATATAGTAGGCTAAATACTGTAACGCGCGCGCACACACACACACACACACACACAAAGAAAGACCTGAGTTTGGTGAATATATATATATATGTGTGTGTGTGTCCCTGGAGCACAAAAGCAGTGTTAAGTCGCTGGGGTATATTTGTAGCAATAGCCAACAATACATTGTATGAGTCACAATTATACATTTCTCTTTTATGACAAAAATCATTAGGATATTAAGTAAAGATCATGTTCCATGAAGATATTTTGTAAACTTCCTACCGTAAATATATCAAAACTTAATGTTTGATTAGTAATATGCATTGCTAAGAACTTCATTTGAACAACTTTAAAGATGATTTTCTCAATATTGAGATTTTTTTGCACCCTCAGATTCCAGATTTACAAATAGTTGTATCTCAGCCAAATATTGTGCTATCCTAACAAACCATACATCAATGGAAGCTTATTTATTCAGCTTGCAGATGATGTAGAAGTCTCAATTTCGGAAAATTTACCCTTATGACTGCTTTTGTGCTCCAGGGTCACAAATATATCTTAGAGAACATACCCCACAAAAATTGTTTTCTTAAATTTCTCTCAAAAAGTAAAAAAAACACACACACAAAGAAAGACCTGAGTTTGGTAAATATATATATATATACAGTGTGTGTGTGTGTGTGTATACAGTGTGTGTGTGTGTGTGTGTGTGTGTGTGTGTGTGTGTAGAGAGAGTGTGTGTGTGTGTATATATATATATTGACGCTGCTGCTGGGAGCTCGAGTGGAGTGGTGATGATGGTGTGGATATGTCAGTAGTATCATATAAGAGCATCAGCAGGAAAGGAGGGAGAAACGAGTGTGTTTTTGGATGCAATGATCAGTCCTTTGCCTTACTTTACTCCTTCTGGCACAATAACAGCTCCACTGATCTTCCTGTACCATCCGGTCACTGCAGGAGAACAGGAGTGTATGTGGATCACAGTGCAGGAACTCTGTCCTTCTACAGCGTCTCTGGCACAATGAGCCTCATCCAGAGTCCAGACCACATTCACTCAGACGCTCTATCCTGGGTTTGCAGTTCACGGTGGATCAACAGTGAAAGTGTGTGATCTAACGATGATATAGATTACAGAAAGATATGTAATAAAACATAATGTGGCTTTAAGCCACATGTTGAATCAGTAACTGAAATATTACTGGAGTCTCTCATTGACTATCAATAATGCATACAACTTAAATGAAGCTAAAAATATCAGATGTCAACAGAGTAAAACTATTAGATCATATAAAAGGTAATATTTGTTGTGCTGTTTACATTGACAGTCGCCTACTTGAAATGGTCAATGGTATGGGCTACGTTTTACAGTTTATAGGGCTTATAGTTAGGCATTTAATTTAATTTAATTTTGAAATATTCAAATGCTGCTGTCCATGTGCTTGATTTGAGATACAGTAGTTGCTTTTAGTGTAGGCTACATTAATGACACCCTAATTAAAACGTTAATTCATTCAACAGCCATTGTTTGAAAATACAGCTCTGATTAAATTCTACATAGGCTATACTGCATAATATGGAAATTAATCGTATAATATATTAAAGGTGTTGGCTCATTTTGAAGATTTGATGTAGCCTTGTGTCTGTAGCATCGCTGAGACGAAAGAGCAAATATAGGCTAATTGAGAGGATAAAAACTAAAGCAAAAAGTTTACAAAAACAATATCTGGGTAATTTTTGTTGTTTACTTTGCAAACTTTATCACCACCCTTCCTTATTTTACATATTTGAGGAAAAATAAATCGTGTTATAATGCACCTTAACATTGGTGCTACCCGCCATAAAACCGAAGAAGAAGAAGAAGAAGAAGAAGAAGAAGAAGAAGAAGAAGAAGAAGAAGAAGAAGAAGAAGAAGAAGAAGAAGTGTGTGTGTGTGTGTGTATATATATACAGTGTGTGTGTGTGTGTGTGTGTGTGTGTGTGTGTGTGTGTGTGCATACACATGCACACATTCATATGAATCAGAGGACTTCATCTACGTCGCAGGCAGGCAACGGGGGAAAAAGGCCCTATGGTGTGACGGATCCAGCCTTGACAAGACAGCACATTTACTGTATGTCACCACAGCCCTAACGTGATTGTCTTGCAATTCTACACAAGATTCTCTTCCACTCTTCTTTTGCACTTTCCAACTGATTCTGGTGGCCACAGAGAATCTGCTCAGATTAGGTTGAACTCTTTGTCCTGCTTCTGTCGTTCCACACACAATACTGTAACATGCTCGATCACAGTAGCTCTGATTTCATCTGAAACGACTGTTCTTGGTCTTGCTCTTCCTCGTCCTCCTCTTCCTCTGCCTCTCAGATTGACGGATGCACCCGTGCCATCTGTGCACTTTGACCTGGCTTATATTTTGTACATTCACATATTTAGAAACAAGTGTGAACAGTTTTGAATTATCGTGTGTAAACGATGACGACCGTGTTGCAGTTGTGCTTAACTTCGGCTTTCTTGTGTTTAGGGTTTTGCATCGCAAGTTTATCACGGTGCAAACTGCGTTTTAGTGAGTGAGAATGTGTTTAGAGTTTTGCAAAACGAGTGCATGAGATCTACAAACAGTGTCTAAACTGCATGAACTTGTTTAAGGTTTTGCAGAAAGAGTGATTTTTTTGGACAAATTGGTTTAGGCTATTGAGAATTTTGTTCAGAGAATGGCATTTAGTGTCTTTGCAAATGTGAAAAACTCTAATAACAGCTGTATCTATCTATCTATCTATCTATCTATCTATCTATCTATCTATCTATCTAATATCACAGATAGCACAGGTATGTATGTCTGTAAGATGTCTGTTAAAGATCCTTCATCTGGAAAGCATCTGCTGTGTACAAACATCTGATAGACGTCTTTAAGATGTCAGATTCACATGCATTCTAATTCATAAAGACATCTTCTAAACGTCTATTTGACATCTGATAGGAGACGTCCTATAGATGTATTGCAGATGAGCAAACACTCTATCTATCTATTTACTGTAAGATTGACGCTTCAGATAAAGCAGCCCTAAAAGTAAAATGGCCAAACACACACCATTCTCAACATCCACATCACCAGCTGGAAATATGAAACCTTATTCATTTCAAACACCGTCTGATGATAAAGGTGATTTATTATTGGTAGTTCAAACAGAGCAGAACAAAAGATCTGTTTGACTCTGGGTGTGACGGTGAGCTACACGAGTCCTGCTTTAACCTCGATATTTATTGGAAAATAGTGAGCTTTGCCTTACTGTCAATATTTAACAAAAGATCAGTTAAATTCAAAGGAAAAAGGAGCATTTCTGGTACGTCATGTGTGTGTGTGTGTGTGTGTGTGTGTGTGTGTGTGTGACTGTGTGTGTGTGTGTGAGTGTGAGTGTGTGATGTGAGTGTGAGTGTGAGTGTGTGATGTGAGTGTGAGTGTGTGTGTGGGTGTGATGGCTTGGTGGGTGTGTATGTGTGTGTGTGTCTGTGTGTGTGTGTGTGTGTGTGTGTGTGTGTGTGTGTGTGAAAATAACAATCCTCGCTTTACTAGTGTTGGGGAGTAACTAGTTCCATGTAATTGTGTTTGGGTTAGTGTGTGTGTGTGTGTCTGATGTATGTTTCAAACATTTATATTGGGTAGTCATCGCGCGTAATTTTTAAGAAACATAAAAAGCTAGCAGAGGATGGTTTCGATCCATCGACCTCTGGGTTATGGACCCAGCACACTTCCGCTGCGACACTCTGCTATGCTCCATCCCAAGCACGCTTCCGCTGCGCCACTCTGCTCTCGCTGCAGCTGGTTGAATATCACTGATTATTAACATCACGTGCCTCCAGTACACAAGCGAGATTAGCTGTCAGGTTACGGAGCCACTATTATAATGATGACAATACTTATATTATAATGCTTACTCGTATTATATCTATCTATATATATATATATATATATATATATATATATA